TGGGGGCAACTGCAAAGTTGAATCCTTTGGAAAAGACATTGGTTTCTGCTATGGTGAGGGTTCTGTCTGATATGTTGTGTACTGTTTGTTTCATGTGTTGTTGTGGGGAAGGGTTGGGTTTCTGGCGTTTCTCTAGTCTGTGGAGTTTCTTGGTGTGTGTGTCTGTCTTGTGGGAGGTTTCTGTTTCAGCTCTCCAGAAAGCTAGTTGTTTGGATTTGTCCCACAGTGCTGAGTGAATTTTGTTGCTGAGTTTGAGATGGAGTGTGAGTAGATCTCTGTTGGTTTGGTCTAGTAGGAATCTTTTCTTGTGGAGTTCATTTCTGATTAGCCCATTATACCAACATCAACTCCATCAACCAATTAAGAGGCAGCAGCACAGCCAACCAGCCCAGCACACCAGCGCCCCCCCCCCAGCCTGAGGATGGCGAGTGGGACCTTGCCGAAACATCGCCAAGATACTCTTAATCTTACACGGGAAAAGACCCGAACACACCTAGACATACATAAATACATATAACATATACATATATATATATACATACATACATATACACACACACACGTTTTCTTAAGTTTTCGCGGGTACTTACATGTCTGGTATTCAGCTTTGTTCGAGTATTTTCCCACGTCATTATAGTTGTGCTTTTAAAGACACACACACACACACACACATGTATGTATGTATGTATATATTGTGGCCACCAAAAAAAGGCACCAGGTCTTGTTTTCAGGGGACGTCCTCCATGGACTAATCTCACTTGTGTCCGTTGCCCCCAGCCTCCTTCCAGAAGTCCTTCTTCTGCAGCCAGCAAGGCTTTCCTGAAGGCCTCGGCAGCTGATAACCACCAATAACTCCGGACCAATCCAGAACTTTGTTCTCAGCTCCAGAGGCCTTCAGGAAAGCCTAGCCAGCCTTGCAAGCTGCAGAAGAAATGGGCCAGCAAGGCAGGTGTTGGGGTGTGCGAGGCCTGGCGACAACTGTCCAAAGGTAAGTGGTAGGGCAGCTCCACACATACCCAATCCGCACCCTAACTTAATCTTTACCCATCCACTCTGGAGTGGGCGGGAATCTTAATTAGGGTTTATTTTGGGGGTAGGGCTTATATTGGGCTCACGTGTAATAAATCAAGCTAGGACTTACTTACACAGTAGGTCATATTTTCTGGGAAACAGGATAGTCTGTATGTCAGGCAGGATAAAGTGGAAAGGACTCTCAAGGCTCCTGGCGTATGTTTTTAAAAAATGGGGCTTTTAATTTTTAAAATGCACGGGGGATTTCTGGGTTGGGTTGGAACAAAAGCAATATTCATTCTGCATGATTATTGTGACGGGTCCAACTGGAGCTGTTAAACAGCCTTAATACATTCTGGCTTTCTTTGATAAGAGCTAGTCTTTGACTTTACGACCCCAACTGAGCTCAGCATTTATGTTGGCTCAGCGAGGAATTTGTTCAGGGAAGTTTTGCGTCCCGTTTTTGCACCCTTTCCTGACCCGTTTTTGTTAAGCTACTGTGTTTCTCCAACAATACGCCCCCCCATAGGAAGACCCAGCATTTCTAGGCATAAGGTGAAATTAAGCCCCTCCCCCCAAATTTAGGCCTAGTTTAAAACATGTGAAATTGGGGGGGCGGGGGGAACTTGCCATTAGGAGCACCCCACGGGCAGCCACGCCTCAGAGGATTCACCCCAAAGGAGGATTCATCAGAGGATTCCCCCCAAAGGAGGGGAGTGCATTTAAGGGGCTGAATCCTCCTTTGGGGTGGATCCTTTGGGAGAATCCTCTGGGAAGCTTGGTGCTAAGGATCTGTAGGATGATTCCCTTTCTCTTCTGTTTGGATTGGAAGGTTTGCCTCTGCTCGAAGGGCAAAGTGGATAGATGGTTCCCTTTTTAAAACTACTGGGAGGGGTGGGGAGGAAGCTGCCCGGCTAGTCTGTATTCTTAGGGAACTGATGGAGGGAATGAGAGTAAAGAAATCTTAAAGAGGGGGGAAAGGTCCACAGGGGAGTTTTGGGTGGCTGGAGCAAGAGGAGAGCGCCCGACCATACAAGGGACGAGACCATGACCTGAAGCTCTTGGGTGGGAAGCAAAGCGAGGCATGGGGGGGGGGAAGAAATGATCGCATCACCCTCCCTCCGCCACTTCCACCTACCCAACCCCGAAAGACTCACCAACTTGCAGGACCTTGTCGACACAGCTGCCGTCAATCAAATCGATGCCCCTGCGGGAGGGCAGGCGGTTCTCATTGGCAGCGGGGTCTGTCTCACCGCTGCTCCTGTTGTTGGAGTCAGCACTGGTGAGAGAGGCGCCAGCACCGGCGGGAACCATGGAAGCTATGGCTTCCCCGCCCGAGAAGCAGCTGAAACGTTGCCGCACTCCAAACGCGGCAGCGCACGGGCAGAAGGGAAAGCAACAGCATCAGGCACGATGCAAAGTGCCCCACCGCCACCGAGGCCGACATCCATGCCACCGCTACCCACCCGCTGACCTGGTCTGCGCCCAGCACCATACCCAGGTCTGCAGCAAAGGCGCTTGGCAGGGGTAAGGAGCTCTCAACGCTCCATGATCGGCCGTTAGGAGCGGCTGGTGGCGAGGCGTGGCTGCCCACAGGGCGCTCTAGGAGAGGGTGGGGGAGAAATTAAGTCACCCCCGAAAAGACAGCCTAGCTGTTAAATCAGGGGTCAAAAGAAAATAAGGCCCGGCCTTATTTTCTGAGAAACACGGTAGTCGCTGCAGTTGCTAAATTAATAGCACGGTCATTAAGCCGATCTGGCTTTCTCCATCAGAAGGTTGCTGGGACACTGCGACCGTCCTAAAGGCGAACCAGTGGTCAAGCACCTGAAGGTAAATCATCTTCCCATGGGGAACACTGCAACGGTCGTTAAGTGTGAACAAGCGGTCCCAAGTTGCTTTTTTCAGTGCCGTCGTTAACTTTGAACCGTTGCTAAACGAACGGTTATAAGTCAAGGACTACCTGGATATCTCTAGCATTGAAGGTGGGCCAGACGTGCTTGGGTGTTCTGGGGGTAAGAAATTAAAATTTGGCTTCTGGTCTCTGGAGAGACTCTTTATTGGAATAATCCTCGACTCCTTTAGTGACTCCGCCTCTAGCAAAACTGACTTACGACCGTTTTTTCACAGTTAATGACCATTGTAGTCACAAGAAACCCCCCTACCCAATTAGTTGTTCAGTGGATTACAGGTAGTTCTCACCTTACAACCACATATTCAGCCCAACCTTTCTGAGGCTGTGCAAAGAGAGTTGAATTTGGCCCCATTTCAATGCCTTTCCTTGCCACAGTTAACACGAATTCCTGCCGTTGTTAAATGAGTCACATGGTTGTTAAGTGAACCCTGCTTTCCCCATTGGCTTGGCTTGTCAGACGGTCGCAAGAGAGGATCACGCGACCCCAGGATGCTGCAACCGTCCTAAATTCGAGTCGGCTGTGCCAAGCGTCCGAATTATTGATCCGACTGTGGAGACACTGCGACGGGCATTAAATGTGACCAAACGGTCGTAAGTCACGCTTTCCCCCCCTGTAACTTGGAAAGAATTGCCCAGGACTATCATGGATCATCCAGGCCAGGAAGATTAATGAAGAGACAGGTAACTTTGAATGGCTCCATTCTGATCCATTCTGGGGTACCAAACTCTTGTACCCAACATCCCATTGTCAGAACTTAATGGGGGGGGGGGGGGGCTGGGGAAGATTTTATTTTTTTTAATTTCCCTTGCAGAATACAGCAATTTTAATTTGTATTTTTGCTAACTGCACATTGACCTGAGCCTTCCTAGCCAGCTCCGTAAAGCGAAGGAAGGCTCGGCTCAGAAAGGAGCGACAATTGTAGTCAAAAAGACCGACAAAGATTGCGGGGTATGTGTGTGTGTGTGTGTGTGTGAAATATCCAGGCCTCCTAAGTGGCATCGGACATTGTGGGCAGGTAGAAAAAAAAACCAGAGGGGCATCTCCTATGCCAAGCAGAAAAATGGCATCAAGGGAATATTTGTAGCTCAGGGTTGAACTGCTGGGAGCAGGGGCTCCTTAGTGGTCTCACTGAGCTTGGTGGTTTGCTTGCAGGCATTTCATGACCCAGCTAGGGAACATCAACCATGCTGGTTAACCCCCCTTCCTGTTCTAGCAATGATGATGTTCCCTAGTTGGGTCATGAAACGTCTACAGGAAATGTATAGAAGGATCCAAGGAAATAAATAATCTTGATACCTGGCAGCAACCCGTATCAACCAACAGCACCAGTGAATATTTGTGATACATTTTAAAATGGTCAGTTGACTGAGTTTCATTTTAATGAATAAAAAATAATTATTTAGTAATAATTTTAAGAAGATACTTGGTTGATAGCTAGGATGCTGGCAGCAACCCGTATCAACCACTAGCGCCAGTCAATATTTGTGATACATTTTAAAATGTTCAGTTGACTGAGTTTCATGTTTAATGAATAAAGGAGGTAATAATTCTTCCTCTTCTTGTCTGCAAATTCCACTATCATCATGGATGATGTTACCTACTTGGGTCATGAAATGTCTACAAGAAATGTGTAGAAAGCCCCAAGGACCCGACAATCCTCCTCCTTTTTTCTCCTCCTCTCTGCAAACCCCACTCCCTCCTAACACTGATGATGTTCCCTAGTTGGGTCATGAGATGTCTGCAAGAAAACCAGCCCAGCTCAGAGAGCACCAAGGACCTCACAGTTGTCGTCCTCCTCTCCCCCTCTAGCAGTGATGTTCCCTAGTAGGGTCATGAAACGTCTGCAAGGAAAAACGGTCAGAGACCCAGGATGCTGGTCATTCTCCTCCTCCGTCTGGCGAGCTGCACAATGGGACCTACACAACACACATACACACACACACAAAGCAGCAAGGGGAAAACCCCGCTCGACACCTGTCGGGCGCACGCAAACCCACACGCCACTGGGAGTTTCCCCAAGATATCCTCCTTTCCCTCCTGCCACAGATGACAGAGACACACACCCCTGCCCCTTACTTTGGCGTGGCCGTGCTTGCCCGTCTTCGAAGTGGACATCTCCACAATCTTGCAAGGACGTCCCTTGAGCACCACGAAGCCGTTCTTCCGGAGGGCGGAGCACTGCATGGGGAAGGTGGCGGAGGCACCGGCATCGCCGGTCTCGAAGTCCAGGTCATCAGCCATGGTGGATCAGGTGTTGTAGAAACCGCTGGGGGGGGAAGAGGAGGACAGAAAGGTTAAGACGGAAGTAGGTAGAAGGTGTGAGCACACGTTGGCTGGCTGGTCAAGCTTGGAAGACGGAAAACAAACCCTGCCAGAGGGAGAATGCAATGCTCAAGGCCTCTACACGCCCACGTAAAGTTTCCACACCCGCTGGTTGGCACATGGCAAGCACATCTGTTGCTCCCAGAACTGGGAAGACAGGATGATGCATTGAGACAGATTAAAACAGGGGGGTCTCCAGCCTTGGCAACTTTTAAGACTGGTGGACTTCGACTCCCAGAATTCCCCTAGCCAGCTTCGCTAAGACTTCAACTCTGCCTGCTTACTCTCTATGTAATCTCTTCCTCTGCAATCTCTCCACTCTGGGGAGTAGGAGGGAAAAACAAAACCAAACCAGGCATGGTTGAATGGGGAATTCTGGGAGTTGAAATCCACCAGTCTTAAAGTTGCCAAGATTGTAGACCCCTGGATTAAAGGGTCTTGGCAAGTTTAACTGTATCATGAATGGTTGAGGGAATGGGGTGCATCTTAGACTAAGAAGAGAAGGACAAAGGAGGGACAGGATAGCAGTGTTCAAGTATTTGAGGGGCTGCCACAATGAGGAGGGGGTCCACCTTATTCCCCAAAGCAGGACGAGAAAGGGATGGGTAGAAATTAATCAAGGAGAGAAGCAACCTGGAATTAAGGAGAAATTTCCTAACAGCAAGAACAATTTAACCAGGGGAACAACTTGCCACCAGAAGTTGTGGGTGCCCCATCACTGGAAGATTTTTGGTTTTTAAGAGTCACTTATTTACATTTATAGCCATTCTAATCAGTATTTTATATCACATTTATCAATTGTTGTATTGTCATTAACATTGTCTTTCAAAATTATATTTCATATTCTTTCTTACTGTAACTCAATTATCCATTATAAATATGTATGATGTTACTATGCGCACAAGATATATGTACCCAACCGACACACTGAACAGAAAGATTTTTTTTTTGTTATAAAAATAAAAACATCTTTTTTTAAATAAAAGAAGTCACTTGTCTGAGATTGTATAGGTTCTCCTGCCTGAGCTGAAGGGTTGGACTAGAAGACCTCCAAGGTCCCTTCCAGCTCTATTCTGATTGAAGTATTTGAGGTGCTGCTCCAAAGAAGCGGGGGGTGGGGGTCAATTTATTCTCTAAAGCACTAGAAGACAGAACAGGAAGCAACCGGTAGAAACTCATCAAGAAGAGAAGCAACCTGGAAGGAAGGAGGAATTTCCTAGCAATTAAATCAGTGGAACAGCTTCCCTCCAGATATTGTGGGGGCTCCAATCAATGGAAGTTTTCAAGAAAAAGACTATAGACAGCTGTTTGGCCAGAATGATACTATAGGGTCTCCTACCTTGGCCTGGGCTGGACTAGAGGACCTCCAAAGTTCCTTCCAGTCCTATTATTCTATGTTCTACATCCACATGTCTTTTAAAAAGGCTTTGTGCCAAGGGCCATTGAAATCTCTCATCAATTTTCCAAATTTAAGCACTGCCAAAAACACGAGACTCACAACGTACCAGCCAACCTACTTCCTAGCTCAGCCCTATTTGGTTTACAACCCTTTCAATCCAAAGCATACAAGTTCTTGTATCTTCTGAGACAGAGATGTCCAACCTTTGCCACTTTTAAGTCATGTGGGCTTCAACTCCCCAGAACTGATGGCTGGAAGATTCTGGGAGTTGAAGTTCACAGGACTTAAAAGTGGCCAAACGTTGAACACCTCTGTTCTAAGGAACAGAAGTTGCCTTCAGAAGTTGTGGGAGCTTCATTACTGGAGGCTTTTGAGAAGAGATTGGACTGCCATCTGTCAGAAATGGTGTAGGGTCTCCTGCTTGAGCAGGGAGGGGTTGGACTAGATGACCTGCAAGGTCCCTTCCAATTCTGTTGATTTGTTACATCTGAAATCCTGCCCACACAGCTGATGCTGGGCTATTTGGGGTAAGGGGCAGGGAGAGCCTGTTGAGTTAAGCCAGGGGTCCCCAAACTTGGCAACTTTAGGACTTGTGGACTTCAACTCTCAGAATTCCCCAGCCAGCAATTCTGGGGAGCTGAAGTCCACAAGTCTTAAAATTGCCAAGTTTGGAGACCTCTGTCTTAAGCAGACGTCCCAGCATGCTTTTAGAATGGGAACTATGGAAACAAGAGACAAAACAGAGCCCAAATTTGAGTCAAGGTAAATTTTTAGCACTGCCTCTCATTTTTAACCCATCCAAAGGAAGTGGCCAAGACAAACCGCTAATTTGATATCTTTTTAGTCGAGCAAAACCAGAGCCCAAAAACTAATGTCTTCTCCTAAAAACTTTCTTTTTCCAGCACTACTGATCATTTTCAGGATTTCAACAGTGGCCTCCAGGCCATCTCATTACTACTGCATATACTTAAAAAAAAAACCCATCTGCTAAAAAAGCCACAGAGGTAGTCCTTGACTTACGACCATAATGGAGCCCCAAATTTGTTAAAAGCGAGGCATTTAAGGGAATTTTGCCCCGTTTTACAACCTTCCTCCCAATTTTTATACATCCATATACACATAAGTACAGGTAATCTTCAAGCACAACTGAGCACCACCTTTCTGTTAAGTGAAATATTTGTTAGGTTTCACCCCAATTTTACCTTTCTTGCCACTGTGGTTAAGTTTAGTCACATGGTCATTGAGTCCGGCATAGATTTTGCCTCTCGGAAGGTCACAAAAGAGGAACCATGTGACCCCTCCCCCAGGACACTGCACCCATCAAAAATACAAGTCAGTTGTGCCAAGCGGCTTGAATTCTGATCACGGGGATGCCACGACGGCTGTTATATGTGAAAAACAGTCGTAAGTCACATGTTTTTTCGGTGCTGTTCTTAAACTTTTGACCGGTCACTAAATGTACCTTGTTGTAAGGTCAAGGACTACCCGTAGTGCAGCTGCCTTTTGAAAAAGCACCTTGGAGCCAACTACCACCTGGATGAAACGAGAATCTCTCTCTCAACATTTATTCCGTCTACTAACTTTCTCTGGCCTGCAAGCCTCTCCATTCACACAGCAATAAGCCTGCAGAAGTTTGCTTCCCATGCCGACCTGAGCCCAAGATTTAGCCAAGATCAAGCCAGGCGACTTCGACCACACCTTCTGCTGCATGGATCCTCCATGCTCTATTTTGGGATCTCCTGCTCTTTACAGCTTCCAAGGCCCGGGGATCATATACGTTTCAAGGCCCAGAATGAATCCAAAGGAGCAACTTCAGTCAAAATATTCTTCCAAAAGGTGCAGTTTTAAGGGAAGAGGAGGAGGAAGCCAACCAGATTTGAGAAAAAGCTCATTTTTGGAGTCAGCCTATGTTTGTTTGTTTGTTTTTAAAAATAAACTTCTAACTTAGGTTTAGCAAAGACTGAGACTTTAAGCCTCAAAGAGCTCATTTCACTCATTCCCCAAAAAGAAAAAACAATCCACCTTGCCAACATGCAAATCGAATAATTCCTTCGTGGAGCAAACAATCTTCCCTTAAGGCTTTAAAGGCCTAAATATATTACACCGATGGTAGAAGCCCCCCGCCCATTCCCTCAGCACCCCAAACCCAATCTTCCCATGTGTTTGGGGTGAATAAAAGCAGACCTGGAAAGGAAGAACTGAACCCCAGGCATATTCTCTGACCTACTCTTCCTCCCAAGGCAGATCTCCAGGATCCGCTTGCCCTCCAGAGTGGGCTGCTGCTCTCAAGAGGGGCACACAAAAAGGGCAGGGCGGCTCTCCAAGCCCTCCCCAACATACATCAGAGCTGGAAAAACCCGCTTCCCTTCCCAGGGAGGCAGCCTAGCATTAAGACAAAGCCCCAGACAGCATGAGGTGGTGGTGGCTACAGACATAGCTGCTGCTGGCTCCTTCTTCCACACACCCCTCACCTGCCACGCCAAGGAGCCTCCCCCCACCAAGTCTGATCATTATCCTGCCCACCTCCTTGCAAGAGAGCAACTGGGAGTCTCCTCTCCCACTGCAAACCTGTCCGGGTCATTGATTAACCGTCATTGCAGACTTACAGTGGCTCCTCAAAAGGCCCATAAGCAGTGCAGGTGGTGGCAGCAGTTGGGGGCACCAGTGAGGCCCGGCGGCGGCTGCCACTACCACATGAGGAGCCAAAGGGGAAGGGAGGAGGAGGGAGCTGGCCAAAGGAGGCAGGAAGTTTGCACCCACTTTACTGGAAGGAGAAAGAATCAGGTAGCCCCTCCGGCCCGCATGGAGCCTCCCCTCGGCTCTTGCCAACCCCAAGCATGATTCAGCTAAGCTGCCACTGCGGAGAGACAGGCTCCACACCACACACCACGTGACCGGCTTTTGGGGGGTGAGGAGGAGGAAGGGAGCAGCTACTTTTAGGAGGAAGGGACCCCCCCCCGCTTTCCATCTAAGCTGCTACGTCCCCAATTCTTAGGGGGTGATAAATGTCTCCCTTAAGAGTGGCTTTTGCACAGGGGTTCCCCCCTCCACAAGACTCCTGGCATCTGAACAGATTCTCCCATGCCTAAAAGCCTGCTCTGAGTTCAAATCCAGCCTGAGGTCTCTGCTTTCCCCCCCCCCCCCTCAAATGGCCCCAAGGCCATCTATCCGGGAGGAAGGAAAGCCACTAACATAAGCAAACCCCAAACCCACCACCCCGAAAGTGGGCTACCACGGAAGCAAAAGCTGATACCTACCCCCCTTTTCAGGTTGCTCAATCACACCCCTCACCTTCTCTAGGTAGCAATCTAGGTAACTGGCATCAAAAAGGAGAACTCTGCCAAGGCTGCACGCAGAACAAACCCCCCATCCAGGGGGAATCCCATGGGAGAGGGGGCAGACAAGCCTAATTTCAACATTTAAAACCAGGGGTGGGCAAACTTGGCTACTTTTTAAGACCTGCGATACTTCAACTCCCAGAATTCCCCAGCTGACCATGTCAGCTGGGGAATTCTAGGGGTTGAAATCCCACAGGTCTTAAAAGTAGCCAAGCTCATCCACCCTCGATTGAAAACCCATCATCCAGGGGATAAAAAGCTCAAATCCAACTGTTGCCCCTTTTTTTGGGGGGGGGGGGGTGTCTTTTTCACCAGCCTTTCTTTCTTCCATCTTTTTCCGCTGCTGTCCAGTCAAGCCATTGCAAGTTGTTTCGTTTCCATCCACCCTCTGCATTCCCATTTCCCCCCCCAAAAAACAACCCCCCCCCCGCCTATTTTGGCCCCAGCACAAACAAGAAAAAGAAAGGCCACCTTCCCAAATATGCAAAGCCCCCCCTCCAAAAAAACTTGCATTCCCTCATCAGGGGGAGGGGCTTGGTGGGCCTTCCCTTTAAAGGGCAATCATGTGCTTTTTCTCTCCCCCCCAAAGAAGACTGAGGTCACACAAACCAGCTCGGCCACGGAATTTGCCTATTTTGGGGTTTGCACAAGCCACAACCAAACCACAAAAAGAGGGGGGAAATGGGGGGGAAGAAGCTGGTTTAAAATGCCTGTGTGTATTCAGTCAATAATTTGAGTCTGGGAGGCGGAGGGGTTGGCTTTGAGCCCCCCCCCAGCTCCCTTCCTTGCCCGCAGAGTCGCTTTTCCCCAATGAATTTTAGAGGGGAGGGGGGTGCCTCCAATCAGGGCCCTCCCCCTCCCAACTCCCTGCCCAGGGACCCCCCCTCAAATTCAGGCACCTGCTACAGTTCAGCCCAGGAAAGGCTCCCTTTAGGTGACCCCCCCAGGAAGTCCAAGGCTCCCTCCCTCCCCTCACCCCAAATCCAGGTACACCCCCCCCAGAGTTCAGGCCAGGACACTCTCCCTTTAGATGACCCTCCCCCTCCCAGGAAGACCAGGTCTTCCCCCCTCCCAAAGACTCCCAACCACAAATCCAGGC